CCTTTTTCCTTGACATTTCTCCTACCCTGTTCCGAGTTGTTTAAAGTCCTTTCTTGATATCTCTTATTTTGCTTGTTCTCCCTCCTTGCATCGTGATGCATGTGCAAACTCTGTTGCTTTTATAGTTGCATTATGGTCTAATATGTTCCTTCTCACTGTTTGGAGATCGGTCTAATCTTCTCCCTAGCTACCTTCTCATATTTTTATATAAAAAAATTCTTCCCAATACCTCAGCACATTTGGAGGAAGGAACAATAAGCTAACTCCACCATGACAAAAAAAAAAGTAACGGTGCCCTTAGAAAGGTATTACACTTTCTTGAATTATTAATTCTGTCCATCATCTTTCAGCATGGTGTCACAGAGTCAGAGCAGTAGTGAATCCATAAAACGGTTTCTTACATCACCCAACAATATAGATGGCACTGAAGCCCGTGATGATAATTTTCCTTTCTGTCTTGCCACATGAAATCTGTGCCGCACCTAGTCTGTAAAGTTGGGGGCTGATCTTTTTTTCAGGCTACGTTAGCTGCTGATGATCTCTGGACACAGTAGCTGCTGTCTGTGACCAATTTCCACTGGCGGCCTGGAAGGAAGAGGATACATCCTTGACTTGTTGATTCTTGTGGTGCACATGGGCTGGTGGGCTACCAGCCTTGTGAGTTGCATTAGCACATGTGTGTGTTTGTATCATGTGACACACACACACACACCCCCCCCAGTTCAGTTTGGGAATTCCCACTGTTCGTTTTGGCTGTCCTGTTTCTGCAGTGTAGCTCCTGGTTATCTTCCCTCTCTTCTTTAAACACATGAATGAATTTTTCACTGACAAGATTAATCAGATGGGTCATGTAATTTGAAACAGAAACAGGGCTACCTAAGCAGTTCTAAATATAGTAATGTTTAGAAATTTACCCAAACCCAATGTTACGTGTAATAAAAAATTCCTTTCCAGCTTTTCTCCAGCAGCATCAGTAATGTTCATTAGACTTTATGGGAACAGATCAGAATTATATTTATTTTGGGACAACTTTGAAATATCTGTTCCTCATCATACATGCCTTTTAGTTTACTAACACTTGAAGGTAGAGGTATCTTGCAAAAATTAACAGCTGTAACCTGTGTCAGTAACAAATTTATCATTTTTTTCTCAGATCACTAGTCTAATAATAATAATCTGCATCCAAACCTTTACTTCAGCTTGGAGTAAATTAGTGTTCCAGAGGGGTGAGTGGGGCTGGACTCCTTCAGACTAAGCTGCCAAATGAGATACGCTTTCAGAATACTAAAAAAAAAAAATTTAAAAAATTATAACCTTAGTAGTCGTGTGGGAGAAGCAATTTTGGCAACTTCTGCATAAAAGCTCAGATACAAAGAAGAATGACTATTGCATTCAAGTAGCGCTTACTGATTCTGAAAATTAAATTATGCCTTACATCTTTGCAATGCTTTGGAATTTTTATTCTTTCTTCATCATTCATGCAATAATGGAAAGACTTATAGTGATTTCACTGAACTGAATTTTGGACCAAGTTTTAATGCCACATCCCAGTAAGAAAGCATTTTGAAAATGTTGCTTCTGCATTTTGGTCCCAAAAATTTGTCTCAGTTTGAGCTTGCACATCTGGAGTCTTGCTGCTGAGATCTGTCTGTCTTGTCTCACCTTATTATTAATCATTTGTTTGAAAATAGTAAGACACTTGACAGTTTTCTGAACACAATGCCAGCATCTGCCCTAGAGTACTTCTACATGAATAATTCCGTTAACATCATTACTGTGGTGCTCGGCTGACTTTTTATAAATGGAGGAGAATGAAAACAAAAATATAAATTATTCCCATATCTGGGTTTTCCAGTATATGCACTCTTCTCACAGTTGGTGGTCTTAACTGTTGTGCCTTAGGGCAGAAGTTAAGTTTTGGTACAATTGCAAATAAGTATACTTTTTTTTTTAATTCTTAACAAAATTATGTGGAGCAGGAAGTTAATTTGTACTTGGTTTCTGATCCTAATTCACTAAGAGCCTTGTTATGAATGTGAGCTAAATCAGGTGGGAAGGTGACACATGTGGAGTGAGCCAAATGCAGATATAAAACAGTTTTGCCGATCTTTGGTAGACTCCTGCCTTTTGTAGTTTTGGGGAGATGACCCTGTTCCTTGCCAGGTCAGGGAGGGAGTGTCCTTAGATGAGAATAATACAAAGTTTCTTGACCAGTTTAAAAATTGAATGCGGTGAGACTGTAGTAGATAGGATCAATGACTGGAGGGGTCTACTCCCCATGCACATGTTATGTTTCTAACGTTATGAACCTTCTGCAAACAGCATCTCAGTGAAGTTTAGTGGCAATAGTTCAAGAGCTTGCATGGCATACTAACAGGTAACTTCTATCAATCTGTTTTGATTATGGCAGAGCACCAAAAGTAATAGCAAAACCCCATAGACTTCTGAGGAGGACACAAAGTAGTCATTAAAGCAGACATGCTGACTTTCACTGTCGTGTCAATAAAAGCTTGCATTTCAGTAGACAAGCAATTGTTGGAGATATGATTCTGCACTAGGGAGTCGTAAACAATTTGTTTCTGTATAAACAGGCATGACTTCTTACTGCCAAAATCGGTGGTGATATACATACTGTATTTAAAATAGGATATAGTCTTTCACACTGTTTCTTTTACAGGCTTTGCTCGTAATCTCTCTGAAGGAAGCAATGCTAACTATACAGAATATGTGGCTACCAGATGGTACCGCTCACCTGAACTCTTGCTTGGGTAAGTAAAGTTTGTAGAACTGCCATGATAAATCTTGACTAATTCTTTACATTTTTTCAAGCACCTTTTGTAAGATTTACCTGTAAAGAGCTGTGGTTGATTTAAAGGGAAAATTTCAAGAGGCTACCAGTAAGTCGGCATAAATCATTGACATGTTGACCTGTCTTGAGCTGAGCAGTGTTTAACTGATCAAAATATGAAGCTGAATTATAACAGATGTACTGCAGATTCCTGCCCCCACCCCCATTCCCTTTAGAAGAGGTTTCCTTGGTAGTCCTGTAGCCTAAAATGTTCCATCAGCCTTGTGGTGGACATCACATAGCAATGGCAGTGCAGCTTTCACCATGCTACGCTCCTAGTTCTCTTCATCCTTTGGGTCAAAACTATGATTTGGTTTTCATTCCCAGTTACCCTTTACCAGCACTGCTGAAGTGGCTCAGAAGGGTGGTGCTAGCTTTTTGCTAGTCAGGAAGAATTTATTGAAGGAGGCTGTATGAATCATTTTAGTAAAGCACTGAGAAGTTAGTGTTGCATTGCCTGTGAAAGCAATAGTTACATGAGTAGCCTCAGCCAGACAATTTAGTTTTATTCTTTTATTAATCTGCAAAATGAGTGTTTTTCTACCTCACAAGGTTAAACAGATTTTTCAGATACTATATGAACAATTTCATAGGACCCAAAAGGGCAAAGGAAGAGACAAAAATAACTGGAGATCTACTATATGTGATCTTACCATTACTATCAAGTTTAACAGTGCATTATTCTAAACTATGTGATCACTCATAGAATACAATTCCTGTCTGTATAGCATATATGTATTTATATATACATATTCTAGAAATAAGGAATTGTTAGCCACAGGATGAATCAAAAAAGTACTGGTCACTCATAAGATTCTTTAAGCAAAATGTTTCATGCTGCTGAGAAACAAGTCTGTGTTGGAAGCTTTGATTAACACTGAACGAGACATTTCTTGCATAGGTAAAGCATTGGGTAATAATTATTCTGTCAATAAAGTCATCCCAGTATTCCCAGAGCTGTGCTAATCTTAATCAAATTGGTAGGCAGTCATGTTCTTATATGTGGAACAGTATGTTAAAATTGCCATTAAAAACCTCAAAGCTCAGTTTTTCATATTTTGGAGAAAACAGATATAATTAAGCTTCCAGCAAAGTGTGTGTGTGTGTACACAAGTGTAAAAAAAGACTTGGAAAGAAAGCATCAGTTGTGGCCTTTCTAGTTACACAACATTTTACTCTTTTTCTATAGTAGTAAGGAGGATTTAGGAGGAAAGTTATGAAAAGCTTGACAGACAGTATTAATCTGACCTGCAGTTTTCAAAACTGTTCTGTTACCAAAGGAAATTTAGCAGGAATCACATCTGTTTGTAATTGACTAAATTTGTTTGATTAGCTTGTAGAGAAAGGAGGGGGTATGTGTATTTAATGCATATGACTTCAACTTTGCTGGTGTATGTTTTTAATGCCAAGTTTTTCTGGCACAAAGTGATGTCTGTTTCTTGGCAATCCTGTTCTATTTCTCAGACACTCATCTTACCCATTCCCCCTTCCCCTGCGTTTACCAAATCTTTATAAGCGTCTAATATTCAAAAGTCTTCCTAGGATTATTAAATATATACATTTTACCAAATACAGTTTTACTTTTTCAATTTTTAAAATGTGTCCCACAGAGATTTCTGTTTTGCGATAAAGTTCAAGACTTAAATTTCAGGAGAGGAAAGAAATTGCTGCCTAATTATTCACAGAACATCCAAAATCTACTCACTTTGGAGAGCCTCAGGTAACTGTCAGTGGAGTACTCTGTACCCTTTGACAACAAAATATTGCTAAAAGCCAGTAGATTTTAAGGCACGCCAAATTACTAGATGAAAACATGTTTTGGAGAATCTTAATTTGTGCAGGAATACACTATAGTACTTCTGATTTGTGGTGTCTCTGTTCTATAGGAGTTATTTCATTTATCCAGCCATGTCACTCTTGCATTGTTTGCCTGTTACGATCTGACAAGACTGATGCTGACAGTCAGTAGAACAGGAGTCTTGAGCATGCCTTTTCAAATGAAAAAGTTGCCGTTTACTTTTCCACTGCCTTAAGAAATGGGCATTTTCTGATATGTTTCTGTTTGACTACGGAGTAAATAGTGGAAACTTCTTAAACTGTGATTCAGCTTCCTTTATTCTTGTGAGCAAGAAAAGGTAATGGTCCCTTGCCTCAAAGGAGTTTTAGCCCATTCCTCAGTTGTAATCCTGGCTTGTTCTCCAAGCCCCCACCCTACAGCAACCTTTCCCCCATTTCACATTTCAGTGGAGAAACCTGCTGATTAAAGGGGTTGCAGATAAAGATGTCCTTGTTTTTCTGTCATAATAAAATGGTAGGTTTTTTTAGTTGTACTCTCACAAACTGTTTTACTTACAGAGCCTCAGTTTTCCAGTACAGGAACAAAATATCTTCAGAGCAGATCTTTGGCTTTGGAGTCTGTTCTCGTCTGTGTTGCCTTTTGCAGCATGGAGAAAAATGAGTCCTTCGTTGGCACTCAGAGCTGACCTAATGGATGGGTTGGACTAGCAGCATCGCAGAAAGAATAAACATTGAGTCTCTCAGCACATCCACAAGTAGTCACTGTGTGAGATTAGTAAGGGAATTATGAACCCACAGAGCCGTTGTAGTGGTAGTACTTTAGGAGTTTTGGCATGCTCTGCTTTGCCGCTGGTGGCTTCTTGTCAGCGATCCGTTCCAATAGGGCAAACTTTGATTTTTGTGGTGATTGTTTGAAAGGACTGCAGTTGTCTCATGGCAGATTCTGAAAGAGTTCTTGATTCTGAAGGTTCTTGAAATTTTGGTGTCCTATTTCAGCTTTCCTAGGTACTGTAGACTCCTGCACTGGGCATCTCAGTGGGCCTGTAGTTTCACTCAGGCTATTGGCCAGCTAGAAATGCTTTCTCACCTTCACCTAACTAAATCATCACAAGGGTTACAGGGTCCTCTGGTCAAGTGCCCTCCCCATAAAGAGAAGTAACTAATCATGAGTAATCAATGGGGAAAAGTCAGATGCCCCCCCCCCTCCCCCCCCGCCTTTAGCGTGAGGGAGTTCTCTCTCTAAATGTCTTTAATCATCAGCATAAGGAAGGGGTGAAGGGAGCAGATTTAGGATAGGATTTGTCACCTGCAACTCCCAGTGCTGTCTTATTCCAGAAATAGGCAAGCCAGCTGTAACTTAAAAATCTCCTGAAACAGAGGTTGAGTTGTTGGATTACAAATTTCAAAAAGGGACTCAGTGAAATATGTTTTCAGTTCAGTCTTTGTTCCAGTCTTCATTCTTCTTATATGCTTTTTCTTTGACATGAGAAGAATTCTCCAGTTGTTCTGCTCAAAACCTAAACATCCAAAAACGATTCTTGGAATAAGTTGGAGGCTGCAAAAATTTTTTACAAATTCAGCAGAACTCGGGTGTACAGAAAGAGTTGCCTCAGTCTATAGTAGCAACAACGAAAAGCCCAAAGTATGCAATGGGTTAGCTGTTGCACAATTGAGGTAGGGGGCTCAACAAGCTTGCCAAGGAACAGAACCTTAGAGTGAAAATCAGCTGTCCACAAAGATTCCGTGTTTCTTCAGTGTTCTTGCCTTTAGATTGAATGTTGTGGTAGTCTACCACTCTATCCTCTTCATACAAACTTCAGTTTTCTGTATTCTGATTTTCTGCCCTGCATGTCTTACAAACCATTCTCAAACCCGTAGTCTCTCCTGACTAGAGCACCCACATTGCCTGTTCTTCCTTTGAATACACTTGTATGTGGTCTCAAGAAAAGCTGGTATAGCTCTTGCCAGGGTAACACTCGCACCATTTAGTTTTGTTTCTGATGAATTCCCTCCGCCTCTTCATTGCTGACCTAGCTTCTTTTGTCATTAGCAGTTTAAAATACCAGGTGCCATTCTCCCCACCACACAACATTGCCTGCATACACAGAGACCACCCATCAGAATTTCTCCCCAAAACCCCACCTGTGGCTTTACTCCAAAACAGGAATTACTTATTTTATGATGCTTTCATTGCTTCCTCACCTTTGTTTTTTAAGGAATGGTTTTCAGGGGCATTCTATTCTCTCTCTAATTAAAATTTCACTGCATGAATGCTGAAACAAAGATTTCTTATCATTTCTGTTCTCCCAGTGGCCAGACCCAATATGCCTATCCACCTATTAAGCACAATGGAAAAAGAAATGTAATGCAGAAATAAAGCAGTCATTAACCCCTGGAGAGAAGGGAAGTTAGTGTTAGTTTAACTTGGAATGGTAACTGCTTCACAGCCAAAAAGATTATTTTTGTATGTAAAATTTTTCACAAAGGTAACCAGATCCCTGGGGGTACTTGAGGATTCCTCTCCTGCCTTTTCAAGCAGCGAAACATGAGGCAATCCAGGGCAGAAACAGAGGGCATGGTATTTGAGGTAGTTTCTTTAATATCAAAGTTTATTCTTCTGTGTTGTAAGGAAGCGGGCCATGGGAAATATGGCCAATAAATTGTGATAGTGTCAGTGGGTGAAAAACATTGTACATTCACTTTACAGAGCCCCTTATGGAAAGGCTGTGGATATGTGGTCTGTAGGCTGTATCCTGGGAGAGCTGAGTGACGGGCAGCCCTTGTTTCCTGGCGAGAGCGAGATTGACCAGCTCTTTACCATTCAGAAGGTGCTAGGCCCACTGCCAGCCGAGCAGATGAAGCTCTTCTACAGCAACCCACGCTTCCATGGCTTGCGGGTAAGAGAAAGCTTTGTTCTTTTTTTTTTTTTTTTTTAAATTTACTCACACAGTATTTACACTATTGTCATTGTTGCTGTGAAGGTTCTTTTCATTTACATTGTGCGTTGTCTATTGCACGTGTTTCTGTGTAGGTACAGGATACTTAGATTATAAGGCATTCTTAATTCAAAGTAAAATTCTGATAACACCAGTACTGAGTTGTATAAATATGTTCATTTTACTGGTAAAAGTTGATTAAAAATTTTCTTTCATTTCTTTGACTTTTTTGGCATGCAAGTTAGCATTTATAATACAGCTTAGCGTTACCCTGCCAGGTTTGCACTGTGAAGTTTAGTGGCATAGCTCTGTCGTTCGAGGTGTCGAAAACTTATACCTGCTGTCTTCAGGCTAATATGTTGGAAGAATCTGGGCCATAGATGCCACTATCATGGCAGAAGAGCTTCTGAGCTTTTTGCCTTTTGACTTGTATTCCCAGGGAGTTGATGTAAGCCACGTGAGTAAAAAAGCTCTTCCTACTGACAGCATTGTTCCCCTTTCAGGGGTTTGCCAATACCATCTAATGACAGAGACTCACTAGTGTGGAGAAGCTGCTCAAGTGGGGGGACACAGTATGGCAAAATCCCAGAAACAATGTATTAGTAGTAGCTCTGTTATCTTAAACAATACCTAGTCAATGATTGTACTCATGTTTTTGTGTAATTCAGTCTTGGTTATCATTTTTTATTAATGAATGTTGCTTAGAAAGGTGAATTTATGATCTCGATAAAATGGTCTGAAATAGTTAGTGTAAAATCCTATAAAAAGACATACCAAGGCTTTAGGAGACCTGATCTGTATTAAAGACTCGAGATTTGAGTTTTACTGTGTAAAAGAGAAAACTTAGAGAATGAGAAGGGGAAAGAGGGGGGACCTTAGTTGTCTTAAAACATGTTAAAAGTTGCCATAAATTGGGTTTAGCTGGTGACGGTAAGAAAAGAAATAGTTGGCTTAAGGTGTTAGGATAATTATTTTAGCTACAAGCATAGCTAATTCCTAAGAGTTTTTGTTGAAGTTTGTAGACCCTCCATCAGTAGAAGGTTTAAAAAAAGATTAGACAAGCATTTCTTGCAAGGTCCTGTGTGTATTTGATTCTGTTTAGAACCGTGGGCTGGATGGGATTTTCTATTTTAAAAAATTTATACCCCTTACCAGGACAGCAATGCTTTAAAAGTTGTAAGCAAAATAAATTACCACCTATTCAACATTATTTTACAGCAGTTCTAGTTGTGCAGTGTAATCTTATTTGGATAAATGCTCTGTGGTGTCTTAGGATGAAAATGAAGTATCTTTATTTTGTAGCTTTAAAATACAGTAATTCAAGAAGACAGCATGGATCTAATGTGATTAGCACAGGGTTGAGAGTTAGGAGTCTCCGTTCTCATCCTGGATCAATGGTTTATTACTTGGCCTCAGACATGTGGCTGCCTTCTTAGCCCCATCTATAAAGTCAGGATACTAATGATGATGACAGTGACATACACCTTCTAGCTGAGAGCAGTTTTTGAATACTGAAGTAAGGTCTGAATAATGGCTTAAAAATGAAAAATACTACCAAAAAATGTTGGTTCGGAATGTGATGTTCATTAGTTATTTCATGGGAAAAATTTATTCCATGCTGTAAGACAACCTTAAAAGTACATTTTTCTGAATGTAGCATAATGCTTAAGCAGAAGATTTTCTGTTGCATAGTGGATAGAATGTGATCATGCACATTATTATTTACAAGCTGGATCTGGCACTGGGTGTTCACAAGATAGAAACTAGCCCATGACGTGGAATTGTTTATCCGTATATTTAGGCTTTGTGAATTTCTACATTACTCTAACTGTGAACACTACCATATTGTAGCATGGGATTTTAAAAATTTTAATACACACACTCCAGCGCCACATGCACATGTATACAGATGCACATTTGCAAACTCTCTGTCTTTTCTTCTTGTTCATTTCCTTCATGTATATTTATACACATAGTTTTCCTCACTCATGAGGTTTAGGGGTATTTAGTGATCACTTTTCAGTCCTTTTGAGGAAGAAAACATCCATGGTATGTTGAAGGCCCAAGGAAATAAAATAATATGGGATCAGAAAGTACCAATAGGCTCATGCCTTTATGGAAAATATGAGTGGTAATGTAGGGCTATAAATATTGTTCTACAAATAAATTATAAATAAGCTGGAGAGTCTGAACAATCACAGTGAGTAGCCATCTCGTATTACTGCTTTGCATGGCTTTGGCACATTTGCATGTTTCCCTGATCATTCCAGGTGTAAAATCTTCTTTATGACGGTCATTCTATGTGAAGACAAGAATATTTTGCCATTTGGTTCATGTTAAAAGTAGAGGAAGCATTGGAAGCCTTGGTATTCACCTAAGTTACTATCTAAAATCAACACAGCAGACTTGGACTTAAAAAAATTCTCAGTCATTAGTAAACCACTTCAAAAGAAAGCAAACTAAAAAAAAATATAGACTCTATTCAGGAACAAACACATTCGGACAAATGTTCTTTCATTTTTCTTCAAAGCTCACATAATGTAGTTTATGAAAAGTAATGCAAATACAAATGATGGGCAGCAATTCATAGAGGTCTAACACTTATACACATACAATGCACATGCAATGCATTTTGCTTCCAAATAAAATGCATTTTTGGAAATGGGTGTTTGTACTGCGTTGCTCTTTAAAACACAGGTTTGAAGCTAGTATTTAATCTGAGGAAGGTGAACGTGTAAATATATGCACCTAACTGTAACAATCCCTACATGTAAGTGAGAGCTGAAAAACGCACAAGTGAAAGTAAAGGAATAAAAGTCTTTAGGACTTCCTGCTCATTGACATTTTAGACCAAACATAATTTTCATATGTTTTTATACTATAGCAAACTTCCACATAAAATGTTCATTTATCTTCATGTTTGTTGATCTTTTGTTGCTGTTGTCTGTCTTAATCACTGACTTGAATTTTGTTGTTTTCTTGTATTTTCAGTGATTTTTAACTATAACTCAGTATTTTATGTGGGTGTATTTTATATATTTTATGTATTTTGAGCCCATTTGGACATACAGTGATGGCTTTTGTGTACCAGTAGATGAGAACACTGCATGCTTCCTATTGTCAGTATTCTTGCTTTGATGTGTTAGCCTAGGAGGGCTCTTTAGAAAATACATAGGATGTGGATGGGATCAAGCCAGGCTGCAATTGAAACACTTGCATAGTATCAGGCAAATTCCACAACTCTGGGAACTGTTAACAAAGTGTCTGGATCTCAATTGTGTAGTTTGGGACAAACTGATTAATACCAATAGGCTGGCTGATTGTTGGTTTGGTTTGGTTTGTTTTTTTCCAGAGGCTTCTCTGGTATTCAAATGCATAATTTTCTCCCAAATCAGCATAAGTTGGATCCATGAGGGTTTTTTATGCCTCTGTTGGAAATGCAGCCTTAATCTCTAATTCTGAAAACACTGGCATGTATGTTTAGTTTTTAAATTTGAATTTACCTCACTGCAATCAGTTTATCTATTTGTTTGCTGTCAGTTCAATGTGTGCTGTGGTCTGGAAACGGATCTCTGTTGTCTGTTTCTTTTCAACTCATTATACTTGACGTTACGTTATAGCAATGAAATATTGAGCAACTTTTCTTTCATTTGATAAAAAGAAAAGATTCTGTCTTCCTTTTATTTGACTCTTGCCTTGTTTACAAAGCAAGCAAAAAAGAACCAGTTTTGTGCTTTATTCTTAGTTTCTCCAAATCATCCCTGCCTGTCCTGTTCTTTCCAGACAGGGCTAGTTTCAAATACTGCCTTCATCGGGTTTTGTCCAGACTCTAGTTGACAAAAGATGCCCTCCAGCAATGTGCACTACTTCTCATGGTGTTGCCAGTTCTTACTGCAGCATGACCACAGGAGTACTCCTGAACCTTAAACCTTTGGGGTTTTGATGTTTTTCATTAAAAACATTTTGGAGTTGTCTGTTAATCTTTGGTATTTAATTAGTACTATATTTGCAGTCTCAGATTCTCTCAGAGCTATTTTTAATCCTTTTTTTAAATATATATTACCTATGTTATTTCTGAATCTATTTTAAACCTCCCACCTCTTGTCAGTCATAACGCCACAGACACATTTATAAAGCCAAGTTGATTATTTCTCATTTGAGAGAGGTTCCTTGGCTGCCCAAGAATACTTTCTTTGGTTGACTAGATGCAGATCATACATCAACAGTTATTTGTTTCAGTATAATGGTTCGTAATGTTTCATAAACCACTCACTTTTTCAGTGCACATGATTCCCATTAATTACATGTCTTTATTCACTGTGTAGTTTCTATTTTTTGAAACATTATATTCATGTATACCTTGTTTACCTTCTCAGTATATTTATGCTGTATTATTTTTACAGTTTCCAGCAGTCAATCATCCACAGTCTTTAGAGAGAAGATACTTGGGAATTTTAAGTGGTGTATTGCTTGATCTTATGAAGGTAGGAAAATATATTTTATTTTCTGTCTGTAATATGTAGAGAATTATGTAAGTGAATTTTTATCTTTGTTTCCTAATGTAATACATCTTAAAAGTACTTGTGAACTTCCTTTTGAGATATTTTGATATCACCATTGTTTGTAGCAAGGCTTGATATTTCCTAGAAATCAGGAAAATACCCCTTGCAAATGCCAGGAGAGTCTGTTCAAATTTGACTGATTTGATGAACAATACATAGTCCAGACAAAAGAATCACCATCATTCACAGCAATATGCATTCACACTGACATACACAGATGTATGGGTTACCTTAGTGGTGCTGGACTATGAGCTCTCAACCCATAATAAATTTAGATAAATCCACAGAACATTAGGCTAACCTGAGTTGTTGTTCATTTGCTGTTGGATAAGCGTGAGGATGTGGACAGTTCTCAAAGACAAAGTTTTGTTTTGTTTTTTTTACCTCAGCACTTCATGTGCTTGCTGTCACTCACATCTACACAGCATGTATGTTAAGTCACTCTTCAATCCTGTTTTGGAACAAGTCAGCTAGTTACCCATGGCCAAACTAGGATATGGTCCTGAGATAGTTTGTTACAGGGGATCAGGAGAAGGTGGCTCCCCCCAAAATGACCAAACATTGTAAAGCATTTTGCTATGCATTTGTGCCATATTCCTGGGTATGCAACACATATTGTTGTCCTTATTATTGTACTATAAAAACATCACCTTGGTAAGCTGCAGTACAACCCTCCCATTATTTCACCCACAGTAAAGTGTGTGTGGGGGGAAAGTCATAGTGTCAAAAATCAGGTTTAGAGTCACAGGGGTACCACCTAAGAATTAAAGGCGATCTGGGACAAATATGAAGCGTGGATATGTCTAATCAACTGTAAATGAGTTGTGTGGTCCCAAGCCCATCTGTGCCAGTTGTCTTGGAAACCAGAGGTCATCTGCTTTGGGGTATACTTGGGTGTTTACTTGCCTTTAGCAGTATTGATGTAGTCAGCAAAAATCCACGAGATTTGCTCTACTTTTTTTGTTTAACACAACCGGTTCAAATCACTTTCATTTAATCTCCCTGCCTTATGAAGAGAGTCGCCATAGCTTTTATCTTGGTTTCATGGAGTCCACAAAATTAGGTACTTTGGTGCATATAATTGCTTGGTTTTGGTATTTATTATAGATTCTCCTCTATTTTCTAATTCACAGAAACTTTTTTTCTGGCATCATAGTTAGCTGTAGCTCAAGCTGCAGCAGCATGTATTGCAGAACAGCAATTTCAAGATCATTCTTCAGGCCATTGTTATACATGCTGGGGCGGGGTTTATTTTCATTCTATCCTGATTTTTATGTTATATCTCAATGTCTTGTGGGTTCTTTTGGTATGATTTAAAAGTTACAAAGTTGTGAAATGAAGCACTTGAATTTTAGGGAAACACAGGTTTCCAAATAATTCCATTCCACTTCAAATAATTCTTTTCAACTTTTCTGTCCATATTTCTCCCTACAAGGTAAGAAAGGTCAGAGATCCTGTAGAGAGCATACTTTGTGTTTGACCTACGTTACTTAATTCAGGAGATGGAACATTGTTAAAGAATGAGCAAAAGACTACAAGAAAAGAACAGAAGAGACTTGTGGTTAAATTGCATGCTACAAATGCTGCACATACTTTGCTGTATGCCTGTCTCTTCTCCAGACGCTGGACAGTCTGGCACATGTCCACACTTGGTGTGTTCCTCATTATCTGCATTCTCAGGGACCTCGGGTCTGATTACTAGATTACTGAATAACCCACACTTCAACTTATGTCAGCTAAAGTAATGAGTTCTTGATATATCTCTATTTAGAGAGCATTTCTGGGCTAGATTAATGAAGAGGCATCCATTTGGCCCCATTGCTTTGTTGCTCCTCTCCTCCCTTCTCCTTCACAAATCATGCTGTTTTGCAAGCATGCGTTTGGGAGTTGGGAGCTGGTTTTGCATATGATGACTTGGGCAAAAAAGACATTGAGTATTTCAGTCTTTTTCATATCATCTGTCATTCAGTTGTCTTTCCCCATTCAGCAGCAGACATGCATTTTCTCTGAACTTCTGTTTACTACTAGAATACTTGTAGAACCCCTTCTTTTTACCCTTCATGTTCTTCACTTGCCTTAGCTCCAGCTGGACTTTGGCCTTCTGAAGTGGCCTATCCTTTGTGCTAATGCAGTGCTTTTATAGTCCTCCTTTGTATCCTGTCCTTGACTCTAGTTCTTATACGCTCCTGTTTTGCATTTTTGCTCATGAAGAAACTCCCTGTTTAGCCAACCTGACCTTATGCAAAATTTTGTGGTCTTCTGTACAATAAGATGCTTTGTTCCTGAACTCTCAAGGAATTTTCTTTAAAAATCAAGTGGCTCTCCTGGACACCTTTCCTTTGATGGCAGTTTTTCAGGAGATTCTGCCCAGTAATTCCCTGCAGAAGCTGAAGTTTGCTCTCCTGAAGTCATGGGTCTATCCCTGATGCTTATCTTCCCATCCTTCCTTTGAATCCTAACTGTAATCATCTCATGGTTGCTACAGCTCAGTCTTCTCTGATGAGAGTTGTCACCACTACTTTACTGTTGGTGAGCAGCAGGTCAAGTAGAGTGAAGTCATAACCCTTGGCTGATTTGCCTCTCCAGCAGCTGCACTAAGAAATTGCCACCAGCATAGTCTAGAAATCTCCTGGATCATCTACACAGGTTGGATGTCTGGATAGTTGAAGTCTGCCATGAGGATGAGGACCTGTGATCAGGAGACTTCTGCTTGTTGCTGTAGGGAGTTGTCCTCATTTTCTTCATGCTCTTCAATGCATAGTTGGTAGCAAACCCCCACCATAACATCACAAATGTTGGTTTCCCTTCTAATCCTGACTCACAGACTGTCAATGGATATACCTTCTGTTTCATACTGGCATTTGATGCTGTCTAGGAACTCATACGGAGTGCCACACTTCTCCCTCCCTACCCCCTTCCTTCTGAAGCCAGCTGTACCCATCAGTGACCATGCCTCAGCCATGAGCCCTGTCCCACTACTTTTCTGTGATTCCAGGCAGGTTCACAGCCTTGTGATTCCCTATGAACTTTCAGATCTCCTTGCCTGTGGTCCAAGCTCTGCAAGTTAGTGTGTAGGCACTTGAGGGAAGCCTCTGAACATCCTCTCTTCTGAGGAGAAATATGGAACTCATGTGTGGCCTTCTCCTATGTGTTTGGGCCATTTGAGCCACTGTAGTGATGAGCATCCAAAAAAAGGGGGAAAGAAAAAGTTAATCATTCAGTACAGTTTGTCACTTGAGAAAGGAAGATACTGCATACCGTATGACCAAACTACATAGGAATGTAGTTTGCCACTTGCTTTGTTTCCTGAGCATTTTCCATTTTGAAGTGCAGGGATCCTGTGAAGGGAAAATCAGTTTGTGGTCAAGTGGCTGAATGCTATGGTAATGCATATACAGATATGCATTGTGTGTGTGTATACGCATGCATATATATACATAGAGTTGTTCTGTATTCAACCTATATAACCCTTAAAAAATAGCTATTCTTTTTACTTAATAGCCATTCAAACTTTTATCCTTGCTGACAGTTGTACATGTTCAAATATTCCAAGATAAATTTGTATTGCCCTGTTCTTGCAAGAAACCTTTCAAACTTATCAAAATACCCAACCTACTGATTTTCAGTTTTGTGATTAAATATTTTCTACATGTCAGAAAGTGTCTTTGTTTAGAATCACAGCAGATCTAACAGAATTATAGGCAAACCTTATTCCGAGTGCACTCTAAACAGTTTAGATGATTCTTTAAAAATATAGGTGGACTTGAACCCTCAAACTCAAAATAAAAACCAGAACTCTTAGTATTTTTAAAAATATACAAATATAACTTTAAAAGACTATTTTTGGTTTTGTAAGAATGTTCCCATATGCTTGTTCTGTTTGTTTGTAAAGCCTGTTGCATTGTAGCATTTTATTACTGGTAAATATAATGTTTTTCATTCTAAACAACATTGTTGTAAGGTATATCCTGAAAAATATGTTTAAAATACATATATTTTAAACATGTATAGGTATATACATAAAACATATTTTTAAAATTTTAGATATTTATTTTAAGCCCACCTATATAAGTATATACATATACGTATGTGTATATGTATTCATTATATACATTTAGCACATAAATACTTTCCATAATAAGCAAGGCTGAGGCCATCTTTCATAATAAGCAAACCTTTCATCTCTTAAGTAGAACATAGGTTTTGTAAGCATTTATTTTGTATCATGTGTAGTTTAATGCAACATGAAATTATTCAAGCAGTTACATCTAATCACAGAAACTCTGGAGATTAAAAAACTATCCCAGTAATGTTGTTTATTTTGTTATATTTTTTGCTGATGCAAATACAGATACTAACATTTAAACTTTGGGATTTGTTTTCCAAAGAACTTACTGAAGTTAGATCCAGCAGACAGATATTTGACAGAACAGTGTTTGAACCATCCTTCGTTTCAAACCCAAAGACTCTTGGATCGCTGTGGAAGCTCACCTTCACGGTCAGCTAAGAGAAAACCTTACCATGTAGAGAGCAACACGTTATCTAACAGGTAAACGTAGTCATATCACTGTCATGACTGACATTTGCTCTGCCAATGAGTGAGTTGCTATCATGCTTACGTACAACATCATCTACAAGAAGAGAAAAGTAGTTGTTTGACAGTTTAGGCACATTGAGATATATATACTGTTCCATGTTGCCTCAATGAATAAAGGAAATAGACACAGTTTTACTGTATTACAGCTATTCAAGCTGAAATTTTTGCTAACTTTCTGCATCAGGCTGAACACTTCTTGAAAACAAAAAAACCAGAGACAATGTTCAAGCCATTTCTGCGTATGACAAAGGAAAAATAAGTTGGCTTACCCATCTTAAAAAAATGTTAGCCTTTTTCTTGAACAACAGTAGGAATTTTGTGGCTTGGAGAATGCCTGAGATTCCAAAGGAATGCTCTTTTCTTTGGAATGCTACCATTACTGTACATGTGCAAATCTGTCCAAGGTTTTGATATTTGAAAGTTCAAAATTCACACAGATTTTTAGCAGCTAAATGTCCTGAAAATTGTGTGTATTTATCATGTTTCAAATTGGGGATGAACAGAATTTTGTCTCCAGTTGCAGTTATAAATCAAGTCTAGTCTACTTGAACTTAAAGCAGGGTGTATTTGCTCAGTGACTCCCTTGTTGGACCCGCATAGCTTGAGAGAAGCCGCTTGATTTTAATACATCAATGAACCAGGTTTACTGGTGTATAAAATACTTCAGTACAAAAAGCCTCATGGTATTCCCCTGATAAAAGCTTTCCTAAAGGTCACCCTCTGAAGTATGCAGAATGATAGTGGCTTTTAATCCTAACCATGTTTTTCTTTAGCTCTTCCTGTGAGATTCAAAAAATTACTCTTCATTTTAAGATTTGGGATGATGACATTTACCATCTATACTTTTTCAGAGACAGACACCAAGAAGCTTTAGCTGCCCTTACAGATATTTAGGATAAGTTTTACCATTAGAGATGTGGCATCAGAAAGGAAAACCTAGATCCATGCAAAATTTCTTGTCTAATACAAAGGCTTGCCTAGCTGCTTGATTTAAAATAACTAGGTTCCTTATATCTCTAAGTTTTAAAAAAATATACTTCCTTTTAACTAAAAAATATTTTAAACTGGCACTAAAATTGCTAAATTTCTAGAAACTGAAATAGTGTACATAATTAGATCACTGAAAGTGGGTAATACAAAAATCCTAAGTACAAAAATGGCCAGCATTATCCAATTGTAATTATCAACAAGATCAACAAACATACAAACTCATCTGTACAGTGAGCTCTAACCCTCAGTAATATATCTGAGCTACATTATCATAGATTTGATACAGAAATAAGTTAAGTTCATGGCCAGCCTAGGTCCATCAAGGCTAACAAGTACAGCTGCAGCACTGCTCAGTCATGGCTGGTTTGCAATGCCAGCATAAGTCCAGAAGCAGAACTGGTTTTATGCCAGAAAACCTGAGATAATAAATCCTGCTCAAATAAATTCAGGCTGAGTGTTTGCAGAACCAACTCGTATCTCAGTCCCGTAATCCCAAAACCAGGAGAGCTGGGAGGTAGAGTAGAAGTTAAGGACATCACCAAGTAGCTCTGCACCAAGTCAGTCTGGTTGCAGAGTGTTTCGGGTGCAGCTTTGGGGATGAGTTAGTGTGCCAAGGACTGGGATAGTGCCAAGTTCCACAAAAGCTGGGGTTCTTGTGGTAGACCTGGTCTTGGGTTTGGTGTTACAGGGCTTGATGTGCTGCACTGAGCTCAGGCTCACTCCATCTGGATATCTTTACCAGCACAATACCCCCTTTTCCCCCTCCTCCCCCCTCCCTTCCCCCTACAAATCAGACATACATTAGATGGCCTGGAGCATTGATTGTATCAGGTTTTTTTGACAGTGCTGACATACTTTATTGTTCTACCTTCACTTTGATATGCCAGCTGTGTTTAAGATTGTTTTCAATGGATATACAGCTAATTTCCATAATGTAGTGCTGCCATTATTGATGTGCACATATATTACTCACACACATGCATAAATGTGTAAATATATGTTGGAATTTCTATGGTTGGATTTTATATCTTCATTAACCAAAGCTGAGTTTGTCCATCAGGCTATAACCAGAAAGAAACAATGATGTACTAACACTTGCAAATCTGTTATTTTAGTGGAGCTTCTGATGCCTAGTTGGCAGTATTTGATGTTACTGCAGTTAAATTTTGTGGTTTTAAATGGCAACTCCCTTCTGAAATGAGTGTACTTTTGTTAAAGTTATTAATATGTGAATATGTAATCTGGTATATTAATGCTTCTTTATGCATTTTAATGTAGAAATCAAGCCAGCAAAAGTTCTGCTTTGCAGTCACACCACAGATCAAACAGCAAGGATATGCAGACACTGGGGGTTGGCGGGCCAAGAGAAGAGGGTCTTCCAGCAAATGAAAGCTTTTTAAATGGAAACCTTCCTGGAGCTGCACATAGTCCAATGCATACAAAAAAATCAAGCAACGCACCTGGATCTGGCAACAAGGATCTAGCCAATAATAACATGCCACATCTTCTCAGCCCAAAGGAAACAAAGGCAAAAACAGAATTTGATTTTAACGTGGACCCAAAAAGTTCTGATGGTCCAGGCACAAAGTACCTGAAGTCTAACACCAGATCTCAGCAGAACCGTCACTCATTTATGGAAACTTCTCAGAGCAAAACTGGGACACTGCAACCCAGCGATAAGCACAGTCGCCACAGCTATATTGATACTATCCCACAGTCTTCTAAGAGTCCTTCGTATCGGACAAAGTCAAAGAGCCATGGGGTTCTGACAGACTCGAAATCCGTGGGCAACCTTTCTGAGGCCAGGGCCCAAGCTGCAGAACCAAACAGCAGCAGGTATTTTCCATCTAGCTGTATGGACTTGAACTCTCCTACCAGTCCAACTGCTCCCCGACACAGTGATAACAGAACTTTGCTCAGTCCATCTGGGAGGAATAACCGCAGCGAGGGTACCCTGGATACCCGAAGACCATCAACAAGACACTCCAAAACAATGGAGGAGTTAAAACTGCCAGATCACATGGATGGAAGCCATTCCCACTCTCTGTCTGCTCCACATGAATCTTTTTCCTATGGTCTAGGTTATACCAGTCCTTTTTCTTCACAGCAGCGCCCTCATAGACACTCTATGTATGTGAGCCGGGACAGAGTGAGGTCAAAGGGCTCAGAGGGTGGCTTAAGCATAGGGCAAGGGATGGCAGCCAGAGCAAACAGCCTGCAACTGTTATCTCCACAGGTGCAGCATAAGTCACTCACAAGATCTGTTGGCTCCTCACGAGAAGACTGTACAGAAGATGCTAATAGGGTTAGTTCAAAATACTGCCTATTATGGGAGGCTTACCTTCCTCTATTTCATGTGGGGACAGTGTCCTGCTTTCTCTCTTCTGTTTGTTGTTTGCATAATTACTTACTTATTTGTCTTGTTGTAAGTCAAGGGGTGTTGAGGGTTTTTTCAGAAGGGCTAGATATTTCAAGTGCAAAATGAGAGGCTATTTAAAAGATAATTTTTAAAAAAGGACTGTGAATACCATTCTCTTAAAGTGCTGGAATGCCAGAACAGAAAAATTTGTCTCTGAAATTAAAATTTCATTAGTAGTTCCTAGTCTGGTTCCATTGTCTGATGTCCTTTTTATCATATTGTTTTGCTTAGTTAACCTTCTCATTTGTGTTTTTATTTAGCTTTTCTTGTATGTCTTTCTGTTACAACTGCTAATGTTAATTTTTGAAGTGAGCTTTTCATTCACTTACAGCAGGACATTATCACTGAAATGCCATAATTCGCTAGAGAAATATAAAATTTTGCAATATTTCTCTTGATTAGTATGATAAATAACCAGGGTAGTCTAGAGATTTTATGTTGGAGAAGTCACTGGTAGATTGACTCCTTAGAGTGATTACTGTCACTAGATAACTTGTGTTTTACTGTGGGCATTATCTAATGAGTAGAGGAAGGGCTAGTTCTGGTGTTGATTTACATTCCTTACACAACACTTCTGAATTAATCTGATGTTTTACACGTCAGATGTGTAAAGATGACTGCATCTGTCCCCAAATCTTTAAATTACTATACCATTGATCCAAACTGGAGCAAAATGATGCAGAGAGAAGTACAAAAACGAGTGTCTGTTTCTCTGTATGTACATCAGTGATAAAGTGACTTCTAAGGAGAGAACATCTAGTTCAAAATTGTTGACAAATAGAAGGAAGTCAAAGAGCTGAAAATATTAATTAAGGTCTAAAAATTATGCTTTACTGTGGAGACTAAAAAACTCGGCCTACTTAGTTTATGTAAGAAATATGTGTAGCTGACTTGATAGCGGTCTACAAGTACAATAAAAAAAGTTTTCAGGTAGTGGTTGCCTCTTCAGTCCAGTAGGGAAAAAAAGGCATGATACGTTTTTTCATCCTTACCACATCTCCTCCATTCAGGATTATGTGTATACACACATGAGAAAAGATCTCATCAAAATAGGAGAAATACAGTGTAATTAAAAGAAGAAAAAAAAAAAAAGCTACTTAGAAGGGATTACAGCAGCTCCATTTCAAAACCAGGGTTTTTTTTCTTTGTGTAGTCATTTTTCTCTCTCTCTAATTTCAGTCAAGTTAAATGTTACTTATTCTTCAGGTTGTTACTGTAGAAGGGCAATAACACCAACACTTGAGGTTTTGATAAAAATAGCCCATGCTATCTTGTATTCTTCAGAGCATTAGGATCTTTTCCTGCATTATGTAGCAGATACGAATTTGATAAGTAATTTTAATTTTGTTTCATATTATGTAGAGGCAGACTGGGTTTTATTAAATCATTCTTTGTCTTTTGACGACTGGTTGACAATTTTTTATTTTAATTAGAAAAATTGATGGGTATCTTAATGCTTATGTTTTTGTTCATTTTGGTTTGCTTTGGAATGCCTAATTATTTCTAAAGAACTTGCCTTTATCTCTTAAAAGTGTTTTTAAACTTAAGCCTTCAATTAATTTAATTTAATTTTAAATTTTTTAATTTTTTTAAAAAAATTTAAATCTGTATTTTAAATCTGTATTTCAACCATCAGAAGTCTGAAAGGGAAAAAATACTCTTCTGAAATGGATGGCAAGTCTGTAAATTCACAAAGCTGTTTTTGTTTGTTTATACTACTTTCAATAACAAATCAGAATTAAATTTTCAATCTTCTTATGCCTCGTAAAGGTGTTTTCACAAAGAAGTAATTCTTTGGCTCCTTCCTATCCTTCCCCCACTTCGTTCTGCATTAGAAATCAGAAAATTTAACTTCAGGATTACTGAACTAAAAAAATCAGGGATAACATAAGCATTCTCAAAGATTCTTTGTTGTTTTCCTATTTTTTTGTTCCATCCAATTCTACCAGTTCTCTTTCTGCTCATATTTTGTGGAGTTTCCTCACTTCCATGTTTCTAGTTTCTCATTGATTTTCTCTTTAGCTCTACCAAGTCTTTTTAAAGAAAAACACTCTTTGTTTGCCAGGCTTTAAAACTTACTTTTAAAAAAAGGAAAAAAGAAAAAAAGACTCACATTCAGGGTTAGTTTTGGGGCTTTTCAAGTCTCATTACAACACTTGTTTTAAGGGTTCTTTTTTATTTTAAATTAAACATACACAAAAGGAGGCAAGCAGAAGAAAATCAAGTACACATTGCTGTTACTGTCTCATGTTTGTAATTTAACTGCTGACAAGGAAGAGGTATCTTACACAAGTAGTAATTTAATCAAATGCTTCAGCCTCTTGTAAATTTTAGAAGAATCAAACTGTGATTTAAAGCATAGGTTTCGCTCCATTTCTTGTCTTGGCACAGTTGCAAGGGTTGTTTAACCTGTGCCAGTGAGACCAGATCTTCATTAATAAAAGGCAAAATAGATTTTGCAAAGCACTTATATAGTGAATTGTTTATACTACTTTCAATAACAAATTGGAATCCCAATTTTTAATTCTGATTGGGTTTTTTTGTGTGTTTGGTTTTTTAACCTTTGTCCTTCTTGGACATTGTAGATTTAAATTCATACAGGGGATTCAGTACAGTTTCCTGTAGGGTCTTGTAGAGAGCATTGAATTCTATCTTGTTGGTCCATACTGGGGAAAAATTGCAGCATCTGGTTCATTTAAGAGTGGAGTTAGTCATATTCGGTGGCAAATTACATGCATATGGATGTTTCTAAGGGCATACTTAAGCTTTGGCTTAAGTATTTGGCTTAAATATTCAGGAAAATAGAGTAAATTAGAGGTAATGATATTCTTTTTGCTATCCTGTCTGACTTAATTATTTAGGTTATAGATTTCTTAGTTCAGGGACTACCTCTTATTGTGCATACAGCACATCTTGTGAGTGTTGGTGCCTCTAGGTACTGCTGTATAACGGCTGATAAGAGATAGTGCTTTGGTGTTACAATTATCACAAATTATATGCATTTCCTTTTTGCTTTTTAAAATTTGCCACTAACAGAGTGACTAGATTCCATCATAAATTAACTTAAGGCCTTCAGTAAAAGATTCGTCCAGAGATGTTACAACTGCATTTCATTCATGGCAAAAACTTGAGGGTCTGAATCATGCTCAAGCCTTTAAAATTACAACTAAGAGGCAAAATTTTGTTAATGCCGTTTTGGAAAAAGCAAGCAAACAGCAAAACCAAATAATTATTGATTACATGGTCTGTGATTTGATATTGGCAGTTATTAATAACATGAAAGGAAAATTGTGTGTGGGTCAGGGTTTCTTGCTTATGTATGTTGGTTAAAAACTGCAAATCAGTTTATAGTCTTTCATTTTAAGTAGTTGATTGTTCTTTTGTTTAGGGTGGAGCATATCATGATCCACACACAGAAGATGGAGCATCTACTAAGGAAAATAGAATTCTGTATAATGACCCTGTTCCGAGAAGAGTTGGCAGCTTTTACAGAGGTAATTTTATGGTGGATCTTTCAAAATTAAACTAGAATTTTAACATGGGGTATAAATTAAGTAGTGGAAATGGATACAGAGAACTAACATGAACAACTAAAAAAGTTTATTGGAAAAAGAATTGTTACCCCACTTTCAGAGACTGGGTTGACCTGCTAGGTTTTAAGCAGTAACTGTATTAGTATCATATTACCTATTTGCAAATCATAACTCACTTTGATTGAAAAGTATACCCAGTGCCATTCCGTGTAAAGTAGAAGACAATTTATCAGGGGGAGTTGAACAAAATAAATGAATATTACCGGAGTAAACAGTTCATTAATGCTTTTAATTTGTATTTTAAGTTCTTATTAACATTATATCTAAACAAACACCTTTGTACTTGTAACACATTGACATACTTACTGATCTATTTCAGATACTGTGGTGCATGGAACTGTAACGCTAGTTTTTTGTCGCTTGAAACCTATATTCATTTCTTTTGTTCGGACTTACTAAAGATCGGGGTTTCCTACAAGTAAAAGCACACTTACATAATCCCTCTTCAGAATAAATAATAACACAGGACTGTGTATGTGCATACATATCTATGTATATGTGTGCATGTAGATACATAGATATTGTTCTATTATGGTACACAAAAGATGGTGATTTCTGAGCAGCTGCCTCATGGCTAAACCTGGGTAATCCTTTTGAAAAAGACAAGGATGATAAGAAGCTAATTACTGTCCTGCAAGTGTTAGGAGGCTTGTGGGGCTCCCCTGAACCTTAAGAAGTCCCAATCAGCTAAAATTCGATTATGAGTCACCTAATAACCTTAAGTAGAGTCACAAATCTCCCTCTGATCCTCTTCAGGTTGATGAGTTGGCTGATGTTAAAATCTGCCAATCCTTGCAAGTGTCCCATTGCAATATTAAAACCTGTGAACAATGTTAAAGCTGTTTTGAGCAATATTTTTGAGTATAAGGTTTTGTAGCACATGCAACAGAGAATCCTTAAGAATCCTCAAGAATCCTCAGTCCTGAATGGCTTTTACTAATCCTTAAAACACTCCTAGAATTGGACATGGATTATCCTTCTTTTTCACACATAGTGAAACAGAAGTGCCAAGGAAGAATGACTTTCCGTAAGTCATGTGCTAAGGAAACTGTAGGTCTGGGATTGCATTTAATTCCTTATTATAAACTAGAGTTTTCTTCCTCTTTAATTACATCTATGAAACAAATATATTTTAGTTTACAGACTTAAGTATTGCATTGGAAAAATGATACTGTATTTAAATAATAAATAGATAATAGTATATGCAAAAACTATTGAAAGACAAAGTAAATTCATATTTATGCATTCTTAAGTACTGACTTAATACAAAGGTTATTAGCATGTACTTTTGTGCTACAGCTTGAACAAAAACTTATTTGTTTTCAAGATTCAATTTTGATAAATAGTATAGTGTGATGCTGCAGTAATGCTGCAGCTAGTGTCTGATCAGTTTTTAATCCAGTGCAGGTATTTCTGGTGATATTCATAATTCTAATAAACTTATGTTCTAGGTATATGTATAACCTATTTTCAAAACCACAGTATGTCTGATTGAAAAATATATGCTATCTGATTTTGATCCTTTCTCTTTTTTTTAAGGTCAAAGTGAAGACAAAGTGTAAACTGTAGTATTTTGTGTCTTTAATAACAATATTCCAACCTTTTATTCTATTTCCTGTTTTTAAATATGGATTGCACTTGTGGCTTCCTACAGATAGAAATGTTCTCAAATCTAATAACAACCTACCCAAGTTCTGATGATGGTCTCATTTTACAACTAATATTACCTTGCAAGTGTCACGAAACAACAGCTTTCCAAACTGTAAAAAAAGTACGATTTTTTTCAGTCATACGTAAAGTACAACTGTGTCTTCACTGTCTCGTTTCCTTAAAAGAGGTAGAGTGGAAGCAGACAAGTGAAAGATCTGATTTTTGGCAGAGCTCAGTATACATTGTTTGCTATTTCTCTGTTCAGTTCCATCTCCACGTCCAGAGAGTACGTACATAGAAAACAATGTGTCAAACAGAACCTCTGTGTTACCAGCAGACAGCAGCACGGTGGCAAACCACTCAAAGAGACAAACAACCTTTGACACCTGGTGAGTTGTTATTTACATGGTTGCGTAGAGAATGGCAGGAAAAAAAGGGATTTTTAACAGGAGGGGGAAAAAAAAGATTCCACATTTTTTTCAAAATTTGCAACTGTCTATACGTGCCTAGTTGCTTCCTCTGACTATACTGACATAGCATTGCATGTTTGCTGTCCCCTTTTGATCAGCAAGAAATTCTTCATTACACTATCACACTGAATGCATTAAAAATTATATACTTCTGTGCACGCTTTCCTGATTTTTTCCCGCTATTAATCTTTGGTTAAAGATAATACGAAGTGCTTGTGTGCATATAGTATGGATAGCAAGGCTGTAGCTTCATCTGTGGATTCCAGAAGCATGAATTGTCAGACAAACGGAAAAAATATCAAAATGCATGTTTCCATATATAAAATAGGACTGCATTAATGAAGAATATAATATTCACCCTGCAATGGGGACTGTTGATCTTTTTCCTTATGCACCACAGAAGGAAATGAGTACGTTCTATGGGAAAATGGACTAAGCAACATCTTAATGGTGTATATTGATTTTAAAAGATTAAAAGCATCACATGGCTCCATTATATAACATAGAACAATTAACTTTAATTATGCTAATAGAATGACAGCATATGCATAGTTTTGCAGGATTTAAAGGGAAATATCTTAATTTTGTTGTTCTGAGAGCTGTTCAGCTCTATAATACTCTTAATCTTCTACTTTGTTCAATCACAATAAAGCACACTGAATAAAAATAAGCAAATAGAGCTTCAAAGGATTGGTGGGAGGAATGAACTGTATGCATTTGCATAGTTCAACTATGCTTCGTACCACTATCTGAAACACTGCTGTCTGAAAGCGCGATAAAATCATGCTATCTAAAGAACTGTTTCAGTGGTTTGTTGATTTAATGTGTTTTCACATGAACAGCCTGTGAATTATCTGCTTAAAAAAGAAAGGGGGTGGAGAGGGTGGGGAAGGGAAACAACTGGTATTTCAGCTTGTGTTCGGGTTATACACCCACGTCAGTAATAGAAGATGTTTACTCCAGAACCCCTGTCACCTGCTCTGATTCACTAGAGTCTGCTTCCTGTCCTTCAGTAGCTCCACCTACATCCATTTTGTGGAAGTTAGCTGAGGAATCCGGTCATTTATGTAAAAAGGTGGTACTTATGTTGTGACTTATGTGGCTAAAGAAGGTATTTATTCCTACTGTTGAACCCTCTTAAGTATTTTGTTGTCCTTCGTATCTGAATCTTTCTATCTTGCATATAAGATAACCCAAGTGGAATCTTGTTTTGCTTTATATATCATTTGGCAACATATTACCTTTTATTACGTGGTCACTGCAAAAAAAACATGTAATGTTATTTTAACTCTGAACTGAAATAATAGCATATGTTATTAGAGCTGGTTGGGAATTTTTTGACGAAGTATTTTTTAGCTTCCAATGCCAAATTATCAAAACCAAAACTTTTCAAAGGAACAGACTGATACCCACTAACTTTTTATTGGGAAGATTCTTCAGCTCCAGGATGGAATTCCCAGTCAAAACCAGAGATACGCTAAAAATAACAAATATTCTGGGGTCAGCATTATTTTTTGGAATGTGAGGAACTTGAGTGCAGGGCCGTTGTTCTTTGTTATTTAAACCAGAGGCTTGAACCAAGATCTTAGGTCTAACAAGTAAACGCCCTGAACAAGAAGTTAGAGGTTATTCTGGAGCACATTCTCTGTTTCCCTCAATACATTCTCTTGAAGCTGTTTCATCTTGTTGAAATAGTGGAAGGACCACAGAGATGCTGAATATGGCCTAGTGAATAAAGCCCTTCCTTAACTTTGAGACAGTTAGATTTAAGTCCTTGCTCCAATTAATGTACTCAAATATTTTCACAAAGTGGAACAGCTCCTTTGAGAGAAGAACCCACAGAAGAATAAGCATTTCTTCTTGTGAAATGGAAGGAATGGCCATGCCCACAACACCAAGTTAATGCTATTTTGGCATGCGTTTCTCTTTCTCTTTGCTTTCCCTATTTTCCTGAAATGTTTCCTGCCCAGCTCTACATGTTAACTCTGTGCAAGTTGTCCTGGCAATGGTCTAACGTTGTTGCAAAATTGTTCTGTGCCATAAATGCAGCTTAATCAGATTCCTGAGTGATGTAGAGTCTATGTTCCTCTACTTAATTTTCTGTATAGACGTTGTGTAAACGCTTATGAAAATGTTGAAAGCTCTAATGGAATGTTATACTGCTTACATCAATTTTATGATGAAGTAAATATTTGATGTTGACTGACATACGTAACTGGTACATGACAATTCATCTCAAATTATGAGTGACATGTATTCCACCTGGACTTGCCACTACTGTAAAATATGGCTTCTCTCATACTATTGCTCTGTGTTGCCTTTCTTCTGTCAAAGATTTTGTGAATGTTTGCTAGACTGAATTGTCACAGACGTTCCCTTGTCTTTGTGTGCATTTCTTCATTCTGTCCCCACTGTCCTGCCTCTTTAAAAATAAAGATGTTATGAACTCGACTTTTGTCATCAGGTTTTACTCTTAAATTACTAGATAATTTCTGAACTTCAGACAACTTGATTTGAAAAAAGGCAAATTTTGCATCCTTCTAGAAAATCTTTTCTTTGCCAGAGTTTAATTTCCTGCAAATGACCTTCAACTTGCTCAAGTTTGCCCTTTTGGTACAAGAGTAGGTGTTTTATTCCATTTCACTTGTGCAAGCTTTGTCTTGAGCTGGGCAAAATCATTAGGTATAGGCAAGATGCTTAACCTCATTCTGCCAGTTTGCCAAAATGTTGGCCTGAGTTATCTTTACCGTTGTTATAGTTCTAAATATCACTTTGAAATAAACTCCAACATGCAGTACTTTATCTCACATCGTATTGGAAGTGTTTGCATTGATTGCTTACAATATCTGGGGGCTTCTGGAAAGCTTCGTTGTTTAGGCCTTTTATGTCCATTTAAATGTATTCATTCTATGACAAACAGCTGGTCATATCTTCTCTAGCATGTGTCATATCTTCCTGCAAAAATAATAAAAAGGGGAAATATATATAATATT